CAAAGGACTCAGAAAAAAAATGAATAATAATATAAATACAGGAAAGTAAAAGAAACTGCATATAAATTTTCAAATGAAACAAATTCTTATATAAAAGGATTCCTAATAGACGATATAAATAATGATAAATTGGTTAAAATATATTATGAGGTTCAGAATCCTTTATACTACTGTTTACCTGAGAATGATACTGGGTGCTCTTGGTTGAAATGGGCATGAATTCTAATTTCTAAGCCTCTTGATCTTTATCCAAATCTCTTATTCTTAAAAAGATGGAATATATCATTGTTAAGTGCCAATGTGCTGGTTCCAACTCATAGCAATCTTGTCTAGGTTTCTGAGGAGTGTTGGTGGTTCAAACCCACCAACCTTGTAGTTAACAGTCCAGTGGTTACCCTACAGTGCCACACCAGAACTCCAAGAATTAGATTATGATGTCTAAAATCATACAAATGCAACAATAATAAACTTACTTCAGCAGAATGAAATAGAAGAGCCTGTGTTACAGGTGTAAATAAAGTGCCTTTAAGAATGTAGGGTATAGACAGCACAGACAGTCTAACACAATGCAAAGGAGTCCTAAGTCAATTTTGCTGTAAGCAGTTTGCACTGTCCAGACAGCAGGGTGGATTAGCATCAGGATTCTATTTTTCCTTTTATGATGGAAGGCATACTCTAGAGTGGTCATGATTGTTAAGTGTTGGTGAGTCAGTTCTGACTTATAACGACCCTGTATAGGGTTTCTGAATAGCAGTTGGCAAATTTGAACTGCCACCTTACAGTTCAAATCAACCCTGCAATCTCATGCTTATCCTACAGTGCCATACCAGGACTCCATTAAACTAAGAAAATCTCATCTCATTGCATATTGAAACAACCCAGACACCCCACTTGCTCCAGCCCATGTTCATTAATGTTATCACTATTATTATCACTTTCCAGAGCCTTCTCTAAAGTGAAATAATGAGTTAGGATTATGCAGAAGTTCAAAACACTTCACAAATTATTTTGTGTGTGACAAATAAATAAATTGACATCTTTTTAAAGTTAGTACATTAGTTTGTTTGTTTGTTATTTTGCCTTACCTTTTCTTCAAGTCAATATGTGCTTCCACTTCTATAAATTGTAAATTGGCCTCTTAATTATATATTTCCATCTGGTATCCTTGTTTTTGTATTTTTGTTTTTTTTAGTGTCAATCCATAATTCATTATGTAACTCATTCTGTGACCCTGTAGAGACACTACTTTGAAGCCTACACCATGGTAATGTCTCCTTAGAGACAAGAAATTGACTTTCTCCAGGACATACTTTTAGCCCTACCACATGCTTTAATACCAGTAGCAAACAGCACTATTTTCAAATAAGATTTTTTTAGAACCATGTTATTTTAATCTGAGGTACATAAATACCAGTAATATTCTTGAAAGCTCCTGTTGTTATAATAATATAAATTTAACTTTACTCCAAAATAGTAGAAAATATCATAATACTTTTGTCATTTAAGAAATTCTTCTGTAAACAATAAGTTGACTGCATACTCTCTTCATTGCCATCTTCATCTCTTTGTTTCTGAATGTGTAGATGAATGGATTCAGAAAAGGAGTAACAACTGCATCAAAAATGGCTAAGTATTTGTCTAGCTGTGATGTGGGGTGTGGCCAGGTATAAATAAAAATGCAAGGACCAAAGAACAAAACCACCACCATGATATGACTTGATAAAGTTGACAGAGCCTTGGACAAGCCACCTGAAGCATGTTTCCGAACAGTGATCATGATAAACATGTAGGAGATGATCAGCATGAAGAATGATCCCAGAGATATAAACCCACTGTTGGCTGTGACCATGACCTCTAGTCTATAGGTATCTGTGCAGGCAAGTTTAATGAATCGGGGAAGGTCACAATAAAAGCTGTCCAGGACATTAGGACCACAAAATGGCAATTTTATAACAAAAACTAGTTGAATCATAGAGTGGAACAAAGCAATTATCCAGGCAGCACCCAAGAGCAAAAAACATACATTTTGGCTCATAATGATCTGATAGTGGAGAGGCTTACAGATAGCCACATATCTGTCAAAGGCCATACTTATGAGCAGCACCATCTCCACACCACCAATGACGTGAATGAAGAA